ATCCTCCAGTGGCAATATTCTTTAAGTAGAAGTTACTCTGAAATCTTCAGAGGCTTGCTCGGTTTTCCTTTCCTACCATAGTTTGTAGTAAGCAAAAGCAAAAACCTGGTTTCTCTGCAGTAAAGTACTGGAAATATCTTCAGACATTTTTTAAAAAGAAGTTAACAAAAAACTGTAATATATTAAATCTCATACTTGTATAAAGTTATATTCTGATAATTTCAATATAATTTCCAATATGAGGAAAAGAGAAGATGAACTGTTACTAATTTTAAAACATAATCTATGGATTATGAAATAATATAGGGGAAAGCATAATCAAATACTCCATATATCCATCTAGTACAGGGATGTCAAACTCTTGTCATCATGGCAGCATCTCATTACATATTACCACATTTTTCCCCTTCACTAAACAGCACGTGAAGCATCCAGTCCTCATGCTGTGAGTTTGACAGACCTGATCTAGTACATTTAGTAAAATGCATGAAAGATTAAAATAGTGAAGATAATGACAATCCTTTTTCTAGTTGTTAGAACTGAAAACTTCAATGAAGCTGTTTCTAGTTATTTTTAATGTTCCCATTTTTATTTTTTCATTTATATATTTTTAATGTTTTCTTTGGATTTCAATCTATCTAGTAAAATTATAAATATGCAGTAATAATTTGTCGGTTTCTGCTATACTGGTCAAGATCCAAAAAAGGTAGAAGAGAAATTTTTACCTGCATTGCTTCATGTAAGGATATACTAGAGTAAGCTAGAGTAAGAAATGAAATCACTGAAAGAAGTAGCTATTTCTTTGATCTGCACATTGGGGAAAAATCTCTAGGAAAGGCATTGTTACGCTGAAGAGATGCTTCTATGAGTGGTTGATTGCTAGAGTTTTGGATTCTTACCCATCAAATCAAGAGGCACATTTCCAATTAAGATATTGAAAATTGGATTGCTAGATTATTAAAACCTTTAGTACTTACCATGCAACATTTTAGTCCTAAAATAAAGACAGACTTTAACAGCCAAATACTAAAACTTACTTCCTAAAACACATTAGGAGAGATATCCAACTGTTGATTCTTTGCAAAAACATATCCAGCATTTGTCAGCAGTATTGCTAAAGGGGAAGTTTTTAATTGTTCTTTGCTCTACAGCTCCATGCTTCCAAAATTTGCTTCTGAACAATGTGGAAGGTAGCATGAAGACCAGACTCATCATTTTATTGACTGATGCTTTGAAATCCAATTGCATCATTACTTTTCAATTAATTGTGGAGCCTATCTTCCACTGAAGTAAAATCAAAATCAAGGTCTCTCTTTAAATAAAGACTATGGCTCTGCAAAACTACAGATTTAAAAACAAAGTGGTGTTTAGAAGTGTGTGAAAACATAAACTGATCCTTTCTCTTCCACTTTTTATACCAAGGGGATCTTTCCTGAAGCTCATGGTAGCCATGCTATCATGAGAAGGGATCAGAAATCATTTTTAACCTGTTCAGTTTAAGAACTTCAATGTGCATGCAACAAGAGGAAGGTATTTTTCAGTATGACAATCATTCCTCCCCTTAAAGTCCTTAGTGCACACAGTAGGGCTTCTGAGCCGGGCAACTGTAGCTTGCCAAATCCTGGCCACCAATAAGAAATTAGAGAGGCTAGTGGCATATAAAAGATTCATTTGGTCTGCCGAGTTACTGCATGCCAACTAAGAAACAATTGAAGGTCTCACAGACTGGAAGGGCTAAACAGAGGACTTTGCATTAGGTATCTGCCATTACTTGTATGGCATTGATCCAGGCTATCAGGGGAATCATCTTACCCCAATAGATTCAGTCTGCCCCACCCATGGTGGCAGAGGGCATGGTACAGACTCTGTCAACCAAGGACTTCTGTTGGGCAGGGTCCAGCAAAAGAGCCTTCTCTATGGTGGTGAGATCTGCACCAACCCTCCTTCCGTACGGGCCTGAAGTCCTGGTCCTGCCAGTGAGTCTGGGAGGAGTATCTCTCTGAAGGTGGTTAGTAGATTGAGAACAAACCCCACCTTCCCTCATGGTCTTTGTGCTCCTTTCTCCCCCCATGTAATCTTTTAATTATAAATTTTAGTGTAATTATGATTACTTTTTTAATGTTTGTTTTTAATATTTGTAAGTTGCTCAGATTGGCTGCATGAGATAAGCAGCACATAACAAATCAATCAATCACCAACCTTGGAGAAGATTCCTTTCAGTTTTCTCCATTGTACAGCTCTCTCTATTGTACAAACTCTGTTCCCATTGTGCAAACTCCTTCCAGCCTTCCCTATTGTACAAACTCTGTTCTCTTTTATATAAGCTATAAAAAGAAAAGGCTGGGAGGGGCTTAACAACAGGCCAAATAAGGCAATATGATCATTTTGCTGTTAGAAGCAAGATCTCATTTTGCTTTGTGAAATGACTTTGGGATTGATTAATTCAAAGTAGATGACCTGTTGAAAAGGTTTGCACACACTTACTCTCATCATCCAAGTAATGGGACATTGGATAGAAAGTCTAATTATTTCTATATCATTCACAATACATTGGATATTATCTTATCTACACAACATTCATGAAGGATTTGTACCACTACTAAATCCTACCCAGATGTTCAATCTGCAGAAGAAGCTGGGCATAGGTGTCTGAACTCCTGCAATGCATGAGCATTGGATCATTAGTTGGATCAAGACATAAGGAAATTAAAAATGTTACATATTTTAGACAATACATGGTCTAAAATCTTGGATATGAAATATCTGATATGAGCAACCTGAATGATCACATCTCTTCCATCCCTACTGAATATCATTGTATGTGTTTTAACTGGAGAGTGCACAGAAAAGCCCTCTCGCCTCATCCAGTATCAGGACTAAGATTAGTATTATTGAAAAGATACGGACATCAGGGGCTAACAATTCACACATGTAGGTTCCATCCAGAAGTAAGTATATTAAATAGCAATGTTCTTAATAAGAATAGAATGACTTAATAGTTCTGAGTGATTCAAAGCAAGCAGCTTCCTCGAATGTTACAACTTGATTCAAAGCTAACACAAGTTTGCTTCTACTCCCTGGATTGCCGATGTCTTAAAAAGTACAAAACAATTATAATGACCTTTAGAATAGTTCTCTACTCATTACCCTGAATAACAGATATCCTAACAGTAGCTTTTTCCATTATTGTTTCCTAGCTACATACACAGCAAGAATCTGGCTTAATATTTCTGTACCTGGTAGAAAAGTTGGAAGGAAAGAAAAGCAATTAGGATAACTATCCTTATATTCAATGCATTCCAACATAGTTACCAGATTTCTATCAAACTACTATATGGAACAACTTAACAAGCTGTAAATTCCCAGAGAGGCTTACTCATTATTGGTTCTCTCAGTTGTGTAAACAAATATATCCTAAATAGCAAACACGTTTGGAATCCCACATGAAAAGCATACAGTTCAGAGAAAATTACACAAATAATTAACAATTTGGCAGGCGAGGGTTCTCCAAACTCCAGATATGTTGAACTAACCAGGCAACTATGCAGGAGTTTAAAGAGTATATATTTAAATAGCTGGTAGTAAACTGACTTTGCAAATAGATCGCAGTCATTCTCTGCAAAGACTGTTTATAAACCTGGTCTAAGGACATAATTGGCAGAGGCAACAGGCTGCTAAGAAATAAGTATTGAACATTTTCTGTGGTATCTTTCAATATTTAAAACTTGCTGTGAGGCTATCAGAAAAATTTAAAACACCAGCATTCAGAGCCCAACACCTTGTACAAAAGATAACCAAAATGGATGTCAATGCCTGTTGGAGTTTTGAAGTTTTGAAGTTGGTTCTTGTGACTAAATGTTTTGCAAAAAGCACCACACAAATAGAAAAAAGTTTTCAGAGGGTTGGGGGAAGTGTTTTATTGGCTCTGCTGCTAGTTAGGCATTCCTTTTGGTCTCCTGTGTGAAGAGACCAGACTGCTATAGCAAGATGACAAAAGTAATTTGAGTAGGGCTAGGCTGGATCTAGAACTGGCCCGGTTGTCAAGACTCAAGTTGACCAAGAATTTCTAATGACATCAGAGGCTGCAGGCTCTCATCCTTTCATTTTCTTCTGATTGGTGTTTCAGGTTCATTTTCTCTGTCCAAGAGCACAAGCACCATAGAAAGAGCCCTTTCCCATGTCCTTTCCTTCTGAGCCTCCTGCAAATGCCTCAATTCCAACGGGGCAGGAAACTAAGTGGGTCCAAAATACAGAGCCACCACTGCTAGGTCCATTGGGAAAGCTAAAGGAGTGAGGGAAGGACACATTTCTCCCTCTGCTGACAATTGTTTTCTGGCACCAACTGGTGTTTGTTCTATTTTTACTACCATGCACAGATGTAAAGAGAAACAACTGGCATTCTCAGAGCAACAGTATCTTTTCCTGTTTCATTATCTTAGCTTTTTTTTAAAATAAAAACAACCAAGCACAACCAAATCCAGCAAAAGCCGTTTTTTCTGCTACATTGCTAATTCTAAAACTCATTCTAGAAAGACAGAACAGATTGCTATTTCCAAAAAGCAAATTATAAAGGCATGCAAAACTCCTTTCTAAAGAAGTACAGTTCACTAAAAATCCAAGTGTCATTTGCTTTATTAGAAGCTCATGCAGATCTGACAAAAGAAACAGGTGGGGAAGGCTGGAAGTTTAGTTAGGCAAGGTGGCTCTCTAATGCAGCACATCACAATCATTCTCTAGAATATGGCTATCGAACCACAGAGATTGTGAATTTTAGTGTGTGCAGTAATGTGTGTAGCATGAACTCTTTTTACTTGCGCATTTTAATGGTCTTTGAAATCATGTTTGCCTTTGGCTCTCCTGCAGACACTTTCTACAACATGCAGGGTAAAAGCAGCTAATAAGCATAATTAGCTCGACACTCAGCTCGATTTAGTTTTGCGCTATGGACTGACTGCCTAGTCAGGGAAGAGGAAGTGTAACATTTTTGTTAATATGCTTACCCGAGGGCCCTGATCACCTTGATCTCCCTGCAAAGTGGAAAGATGATAGTTTTAACACAGCGTGTGTGCTAACCCAGCTCTCTTAAATAATCTTATATCATAACTGAGTCAATAGCCACCAGTTACTATCAGAAGGACTTCCGCTTAGTTGGTTAGTAGCAGAGATTTGCTGACTCACCTTCTCACCTTTTGGACCAGGTGGACCCTGAAAGGAAGAGAAAGGATATTCATTAATCATTTCATCATATGCTTGATAAGCCAGCCAGATGCTTACAAGCAGCAGAAGCGGTATCTAATTTGAATAACTCCTTTAGATTGCAGTTTTGGGGTGCTTGATTGAATATCTCTAGGTCTAACAAAGATCTTTGCATGTACAGCTAGTATATTATGAACACTATCCCAGACACTGGTTTATCTTTTGAATTGCTTTTCAGGAAAATATCAGGTTGGATTCCACAAATGCAAGATTAAAATAGGATGAGCATTAAAAGGGGTTCTGTGGGAGGTTAAAAATGTCTACAATTAAGTTTAGCTTTAAAAAAATCAGTCAGCTTTTAGAATGCTGGGTCTCCAACTATTATTGCATTAAAACTTCAAGCAAATCCAGCCATGATGGACATTGTGGTGAGAGATGCTGGGGGAGTTTCACTTAGCATTATCTTAGGAATACAGCTTCCTTAACCAGCACTATAGCCAATACCACACATGAATATTTGATCATTTATAGGCTTGGTTTTATATAGCATACCTTGGCTATTCTGAATTCAAGATTATGATCAATTACATAATTTACACAATGCAATACAAGCAATCAACATAATTTAAGTTAAACAATGCAACTTAAAACAGCCCAAAGAAACATCTGTTGTTGCTGAGTAGACCTAGAAAAACTGGGCAAGGCTGCAACTGGGATAGCAAGATCCCAGTATAATAAGAACAAGAGTATTCTGTAAAGATTTACAGCCATGATTGACTTCATTTTGGATTTCAATCCGCGGTAATTTCTGTGTTCAGTAGAACTATATCATGTCTTAGCAAATAAATATTTAAATTTATGAATTTAATGTGATTTCTGACACTTTTTCTACAGTATAACAATGGAAATTCTAAGTATCTTGTCCTGAAAGATTTCCATAGTGAGTGTCATAGTCATATTCAATGTGATGATCTACTTCTGCACTTCAATAAAGAACAGTTCTACCAGAAATGTTTGTGAGGCTATATCTACATATAAAAATTCAAGATACCAATCATCACTTTTTGATCCTTTCTATACATACACTGCAATCACATAATCTTGGGGAGGAGCGGTTATATTCCATTAAAACGCCACTGATTCCCATTTACAAGGGGTTAGATTTTTATTCTCTCTAGAGTGACTAATATAATTATGCTTAATATACAAAATGGAATTCTATTGCCTCTATCGAGATTCTAAGTAGTTGTATGATCTATTTAAGCCATGTATTTTTCCAGTGCCAAAAACAAAAGTCTAGGGATCCACTTCTGTTTTGCTTTGCTTTGGGGAATTAATTTTTATTTCAGATTAGGAGATCCTGGCTAAGTTTAATTCATGTAACCACAATGGATATAGAAAAAGCGCATAGCAAGATAGTCATATAAAGCTTCATTTCATGTATTAAGATTTGGAAGAGGCTGATAGATACCAAGGTTTGAAAATACATGAAAATTATTTTAAAAAGTCTTTGCTCCATTATTATAATTCTGGATTAAGTTGTACATCTCATATTTATGTTAAAGTTTGTTTTTCATAGCAACATTCATTTAAAATGTGCTGTATGTAACATTACTTATCAGTGGCATAACTTGGCGATCATGCAATTCAGTTTGAATCACACTTGCTAAAGTCCAGTGTAACTAATTTGGTGATTGCATCAACCTTTTTTGATTATAATTAAATCATGCTTTTAATTTATATATTTTCTCTTACATATACTCAGTCATATTATAATGAGGCATACTTTGAAGAGAGAGAGAAAAACTTTATTGACTGAATATTAGATTTGATTCATATATATACTTGGGGAAAACATACTCTGTGTACAAACTTACAGCTGATGAAAACATAGCAGAATACGAATAATTCTAGGTCTTCAAAAAATAAGAAAGAAATTTAATATAATGGAATGTCAATTCAGGGATGAGCAAGGTTACAATCAAGTGGTTAAAGTAGAGGGGAAGGAATAAAGGAAGCATTAGGGGGGAATAGATAAAATAAATCAGTTTTTGATTTGACTAGGTTACTTCCTAGTTTACACTGAAATCATAATTTTGCATGTTTCATGTAATCATAGGGCTGGAAGAGATTGTGGAGATCTTCTAGTCCAATCCCTTTCCCAGAGCAGGAATCCTTATTCCAGACAAATGCTTGTACAATTTTTTCTCGAAAACCTCCAGCAACAGAGCTCCCACAACTCCAGGAAACCAACTGTTCCATTGATTAATTATTCTCATTGTCAGGAATTTTCTTCTTAGTTCCAGGTTGCTCTTCCTTTCATGAGCTTCCATTCATTGCTTTCTGACTTGCTTTAGGTGCTTTGGAGAATAAATAGACATTTTCCTTTTCTCTTGCAAGCTCTTCAAGTATTGGAAGGCAAGTATCATGTTACCCATAAGCCTCCTCTTTGTTATGCTAAACATACTAATTCCCTTAGCCGTTCATTATATGGTTTAGCCCCAAATTATATTTTTTCCTCTTCTCTGAACTCTAAAAAGGCCTTAGCATTGTATCATGATGATCAGAACTGGATACATTACTCCAAGCGTGGCCTTACTAATGTGGTACAGAGCAGTACTATCAATTTGCATGATCTTCATGCAGGGGTGGGTTTCTATGGCTCTGTCCACCTCTGTAGAACTGGTAGCTCTGAAAAGCAGCAGACATAGGGCTCTTACCTGATCTTTATTTCCTGATTTTTCAACTTCAGCTGCTGAACGAGGCACTGCTACAGTTAAAAAAGCAGGAAAAGAGGGCTGTTTCAAAGGCTGCATCTCTGCATGCAGCATGCTGATGACAATTTACAGGCGCGCGGCTCCCAGCGTGCAGGGAAGCTCATAAATCCCAAACAGGTAGTTAACCCTGTCGTATCCCACATCTGTCTTCATGCTATCCCCTGTTGATGCAGTCTAGGACTGCATTGACTTTTTTTTTTGCATCTGAGGCACATTGCTGGTTCATATTTAAGTGGTGGTCTACTAGTACACATAGATTCCTCTCATAAGTATTACTGCAAGCCAGGTACTATCTGTTCTGTACCTGTGAATTTGGCTTTTCCTGCCTAAATATAGATCCTTACTTTTCTCACCACTGAGCTGCATCTTTTGGATAGGCCCCAATGCTCAAGTATGTCGATATTTTTCTGAATCTTGTGTGTCTCTTCCAAAGTGTTCCCCCCAGCTTGGCATCATCTGGGGATTTGATGAGTGTCCATTCAATATGCTCATCTAGGTCATTTATCAAGATGTTAAAGAGCACTGAGCCCAAGACAGAATCTTGAGATACACCACTGCATGCTTCCCTCCACACAGATTTAGTTCCATTGAGAACCACGTGCTGTTAGTCAGTCAATTGCAAATTGATCTGGTGGTAGTACTGTAGTACATTGTTCTATTTTACTGTGGTCTACTTTGTCAAATGTCTTACTGCAGTCTAAGTATACTATATCCATAGCATTTCCTTGATCCAGTAGTTTAGTCACTTTGTCAAAGAAGGCAATAAGGTTTGTTGGCATGGCCTGATTTTAACAACCCGTGTTGGCTTTCTAGTAATCACCTCGTTCTTTTTTAAGTGCTCACAAATCCAGAGTTTCATTATCTCTTCTGGCATTTTCCCAGCTATTGATGTCAAGCTGATTGGTCTGTAGTCTCCTGGATCCACTTTTTTCTCCTCCTTGAAGTTTTTTCCCCAATATTCTGGCAATTCACTCATGCTCCTGGGGCTCTGAAAAATTTCATTCACATCTGCCAGTTCCTTCAGTATCTTGGCCAGTACCCACCTGGTCCTGGTAATTTGAAGTCATTCAAGGTAGATAGGTATTTTCTTACTAGTTCCATGCTTATATTTATATTCATTTCAGGGGATTTTATAGATGTCCAATATAAATGAAGGGCAAATAAAAATCCAAGTTTTAAATCTGGTAGTATGAACAGTGCTCAAATGTATCATGGAAGAGTTGAATACTCATCTTTTGTAACTCAATGTGAGACATTAAAAAAAAAACCAATATTTACTCAGACCCATTTTAATTATCTTTAGCCAAGATTGAAAGGGTGTGGCCAAACTGATAGAGAAGGGCTAAATACTGCAGTGAGAATCTGAGTAGTTAACAACTATGATGTTATCAGGTAACATTTGCTCCTGATTTCATATCATGGGATTAAGGTTGAATTATATATAAGGGCGAGTGGACTACATAAGGAGACAATAACTTTCAGGGTTGGATGCAATTAATTGTTAAGAGTGAAAATCTGATGTAGGACTGATTCTGTTTTGAATTTCCATTAAAAGGCCATCTGCCTTAATGCCATCTCTAAGAAGAACTCTTAGAGAAAATCCTCTAAGAAGTCACAATATAGCTGAAAAGAATAATATTCTTCTTGAGGTAATAAACAATACAAACAGTAAAAGCATTATAACTGAAAGGAAGAAATCCCAACCATAGCTGTCAGTTCCAGTAAAGGTACTTAAGTTGCTTCCTTTACCCTTCCCTTAAGACACATGAAACTCTTTTTTGCATATAGAAACCTTATGAATAAAACCCAACTGGTTCATATAATAGCTGCACTTTTAAATGATCAAAAATGGTCTAGAGAAATATATTTCTCCTAGGAACGAAGACCCTGGGATCTACTTACATCCACATTTGTTTATATGCACAGACCCAACCTTACATATTACTACCTAAGCCTAATTAATTATTATGCAAACATGAATAAGGATTTGAAAGCAGAAGTCAGCTACTTTTGAGATTAAATAATTTTAAATAAAAGTTGGATTGCTTTGATTCTTGTTCACCTTCATACTCTTCCATCTAGTTCACTAAGAGAATATATAACATTGTATGGTCCTATTCATCCATATCTTATTTTCCTGAACTGTGATTTCATTTTACTCAAAGGAACCAATTAAATGCAAAACTCCTGGACTTAAACCTTCTGGCTGCATGGATTCTCATGAGCATAAGT